ACTGTCAATATAACTTTTATTTCTATTTTGGTCTTGAAACTGTTCGATGAGTTTTGTAATATTTGCAGCTATGGGGACGAAAACGACACACCGGTCGAAAATAGTATTCTCCTACGAATCATGGACCACTGTTCCTTAGCCGAGCTTAAGCAATGCATACAGCAGGCGACTGATCGAAGACGCTACGAAGAGCGTCTGTTGGATGGTTACATTAATTTCGAATCGTTATTTAAAGAAAACAAGGTGAGGCGCGCAATGTTCGGTTATGCCATTAAACCAGTTGGATCAATGCCGATGATCGTTTGCATTTTAGCCATGTTTTCCACCATGCAAATTATGATCATTTGCAGTTTTCTTCTTTCCCATCACATAGTAACGGTCGATTGGTTTTTATGATCCAGCTGTAGTTTCAACAAACTTTGTATTCCACACTGGATCGTCTTCATTTCTCCATGATGGCTGCAAATACGATAGAAGTTGGAGGTTTGTCCTACTGTTCGCACCTCGTTATACTACCGGCACTCACAGCGGCATTATCTCATCTTAATTTCTAAAAAAAAGTTAGCATACTACGTACAACGGGGGTTCATTGGGCAAGTAAACAAATCACTGACAGTTTTGCAAATTCTTCAAAGCAGAATTCTCCTAACGAAAGTAAATGCAGAATGACAAATTCATGGGAAATTATTATGCATCAATAAAATTATACCTCTCCTTCATTTAGAGGTCACATGAAATTAAGAAGCATTTAAAATGAGTTCTGTTGACAGTTGCCTTTTCTCGGATAGTTATGCCTCGATATACTTCTGGAAAACAGAATCGCTGGCAGAGCAAACTATACAGGAGTCAATTCTTCTAACCTTTATGCAGAACATCTATAAACATTTATCACGATTGTCACTAACGATTTCGTGAGAAAACCTTTCACCGATAGAATTCCTCACCTCTGTAGATTTTTTGAGATGCCATTTTTAAGAACTTGCTCATCGAATATGTATAGCATGTTTTGTGTTGGTGTGTACCTCTGAGCGGAAAAATCTATGAATTCCCATAACAAATTTGATGCAGCTACCCAAAGAAACGAAATTAAAATTTTATGTTAGAGGTCCTCATACTTATATGAGACGGTCTATCCATAATTTTGAATTCCTACTGTGAAACCTGAGATTAAATTTAAGAAACTTTACTTCGTTAGTAAATGCTCTGTTTCATTACACGTCTCCTCTTCTTCTCCAACGTAATTCCACAAAGCCACCTTCTGGCACGATATATGTAGTACTGACGACTTTTCTATAAATAGATATGACAAGCAGATAAGTATTA